TAAAATAGTCTCGGTGAAAAACCTTCTTGATGATCACTCTTTTTATTCTGAACAACAACTTCTTCAAAGATCCATATCCCTGTTCGTTTATTGGAACCATCTCCATCTTCTCGGCTTAAGATTTCACTTGTTCGCGGAAGATCAATGCGTTGTGTGATTCCTACAACCATCATGAGTAACTCTAACATTTCTTAAGGTGATGAAATATCTATACCAAAAGGAAGTATTGCTGAGTCTTTACATGTGATGATTAAGGTTTTGGTTACCTTTCTAACTGAAGCGGAAGTTCAAAGCAATCTTCACCGCAGATCTTTCTTTTTCAAGGTCTACTTCAAGAGAATACAACTTCTTGTGGGTGTGTCGTTGTTCTTAGCTCTTGTTATGTGCAGCTTTGTTTCAAGCTCTTCATTCCTCGATTTCTCTGTTTCCATGTCAGCCTCTACGTTTCATTCTTTTTTTTTGTGGTGCCTTATAAACAGTTTCCCACGATCTCCCACTTGATGTTTCCCCTGAAAATTTACAAAACCAGTTACTGCTACTGTTATATAAATATTAAGAGTGATGAGTGATGGGAACTACAAACTTAATTAAGGCATGTCCTTAGCAAAGCATTGCTTGTAGAAAGAAACCAAACCAGCGTTTCAAAGTGATTATTAACTCCTCAGGCTTCACGAAACCATCATATATTAACTTGAATAAGCTATCATTCTTCTAAGCGACTAACATAAGAGAAGAGAGGAATCAGCAAATATAGGCGAAGGGATACTGGTAACATTTCAGTAAAGAAGATACGATTTCCCTCAGATTAGTACAATCCTCCCAAGAGAAATACTTCTTCACTTATTTAATTGCAACCTGTCGATCAAAAACTTTAGTACCATGAAAATCAAGTACAAATGGTATAGAATCCTTGATATATCGGAGAAAACAACTTACAACGTCACCCGTCTGTTGATAGCTTTACCCCTCAAACATGAACTATATAAATCAATCTCAAGCGAAGAGAATAATGTAAGAATATCAAGCCTACCTCTCCATCACCTTTATAGTGAAGTAAAGTATCTCGTAGAAGCGGAGCAACCTTCTCTCGACAACACCGGCCTTCCACTCTCAGAAATGAATTTGTGTATCAGAACGTTTGTTTTAAAATGAAAGAAAGCAATGAACTGCAAAAAAAGAGAGAGATTAACTTGCGACTCTCAATCGGCATACATATACACTGCAACAGGTTACTCAAAAGAAAATCGGGAGTTCAACAGGTATGGAGTTCCCAAAGAGATCTTAAGATAAGAAGAAAGAGACCCATAAAAACAAATTAGCCCATACGTGTTATTGTGTTAATCTGAAAAACAAAAGTCAAAAATTGTTGTAAAAACACATGTACACGTGGAATAAATTGCCCCATGCTCTCTTGCTTATGTGACTCTCTAAGAAAGGAGAAAAGTCAGTTTTATTATATAAGATGCTGGTGAAACTAATAATTTTTTTTCCAAATTTAAGCAAAAAAAAAAAAACTAATAATTTTTTTAAAAAGAAGTAATAAGATCATCTGATTTTGACATATTGTGTATGCTGATCTTTTGATTCTACAGTAAACGTACGTCGCTTTCAGATAATTATAAACAATATCAAACAACAGACACTGACATTCGTAAGAGTTGTTTTAACGCTGCAAAAATTAAGAATTAATCTCTTGATGATTTCGTCAAATTTTAATAAAATCTATATAATATATGACTTTTCTAAACATAGCAACAAATTATTTACTGTTACTTAATGAGTAACAAATACGCTGTAGTTGAGAACTTGGAGAAACCTAGTTGAGAACTTGGAGAAACCACTGAAGGTTATGTGAGTTTCATTAGAATGAACAACGAATCAAATAGAGCCCAAGTGTTAGGCAGATAAAAATAAAAAGTGTGCTTTATAGTCTGGAAAATAAATTTTAAGAACATTGAAAATAAAGGAAAATTAAATATTTTTGCGTGGATTACCCTTTTAAGTGAAGTTTGATAAGAATCGTCTAACCTCCTCAAAGTCCTTTTCCTTCTACACCCGTCTCTCTAGCGATACCCCTTTTTATTCGAATCCAATTCTGATTTATCTCCCATTTTTATTACCATTTTTTTATCGAAACTAATAACCATTTTCTTTCTGCTGCATGTCAAAGGGTAATGGCCTAAGACATTGCATAGCCACTGAATCACAAATTCAAGAGCTATGGCTCCTCGTGGCATTGTGGAATTGCTATATACTGAGTAACATTATCACAACTAACATATTTTACAAATAATGTCATTTCATTTAAATAGTTACTAGCTTGATACTTCACACAAGAAAAATCTGTTTACCTTGTCAATATACAAAACAAACAGTAGGAATCACGCATCGTTCTTATATTCTAGATTTTTATTTAGTGTAGAAAATCTAGAGTAGTTTTTTTGTTGCATTTCTTTCTTTGATTCTATAATAACTTTTTAAAACTTTACTATTTTTTGTGATGTCTGGTTAGTTTCGGTTAAATGAGATACACGGTTTAAATATGTGAGAAATGAACTGAGAATCAAAGTATTATCTTAGATGCTGTCTTTTCCCAGCTGTATCCATTTCATTTCATCCCGTTATCAATTTTCCAAAAAGAAAAAGATGAAAACAGTATACTGTTCCTTATATACTTTATTATATATTTTTCAAGATTTTACATAAACATATTCCATCAAATAGAGACATTATTGGAATGAAAATTTTCAGTAAGTTTGGCGATATTCTATCAAATAGGACACTGAATAAATGGGGTTTCAGTGAGAAGAAAATAGCTAGCCAAATAGTGATAGTAGGGCCGAGGTTAGCTAACAATTTACAATAATGTAAATGTGGTGGTTGTATAACGTCTATGATTCGTAGAGTAGGACCGTCCAACAATGATAATAATATTGATCAGAGGAGAAGCTGATAAGAGAAGAGCATATCTGTCTCCATACCCCTAATAACACCAACGTCGTGTCATTACAATACCTAATTTAATAGGCAAAAGATTTTGCAACTTCATGAGAAATTATTTATGTTACTGTGTTTATATATGTATTTATACCACTAATTGCAACTCCACTTTCAGATAACCAGAATATATATCAATGTATACATATTGATATATGCTTGAAGTAACAGTAAAACTGAATCGTGGGGGAAAATATTGATGATTTGGTTACAAATGCATTTAATATAATATCGAGGCCAGAAGAGGGGAGACACGTTTTGAAGATGGGTTTTAGGCGGTGAGTTGAGTGTAACAACGTCACTTTCGGGACATGCACATGAAAAAGATGGGTGACATGAGTATATCACGCGTATGTGTTTTTGAGTGTGCATGTGAACAGAATCCTCGACCTGTGTCCTATGCACGTGTGACCATGTTAAGACAAAAAAAATGTGGCTCTACCTTGTGGTCCACTCATCTACCGTAACACGATGTATTGTCTCTATGAGTGGATAAAACTGTTCAACAATAATGGGAGGCTCAGTGTTAATCTTAGGCAAATGAGTCAATGAACATAAAATTCCATTTGCAGTAACCTTGTTTTACCAAGTGAATCATGCGCTGTTTTTTTCCTAATTCATTTTCCATTTGGAAGAGACGTTGATCGTGTTTCAAGAGTTTCTCAGCCAAAATATTATTAAAGAAAATTAAAGTAGAAGAAAAAGGATGAAATCTAAGAGAACCATTAATTTTTTTTTTTTTAAAACTCTAACAAATTCAGAGAAACTGGTTTTACACCTGTGTTTTATTTGAGTGGCACAATAAATTTTCAATTTAATATTAGTACAAAATAAATTATCTTAAAGTATCAACATAATAGTGTTTAGAAAGTAACTAAGGGAGTGTGGAACTTTCCTCTATAAAAAAAGGGTTTATTGTGAATAAGGATTATGGGATTCAACCAGAAACTAATTATGAAGGTAGTAAAACATGTTAAGACTTTTCAGCAGCCACTGAGGTAGTAAACTCAACAAGGTGTCTAGAAGAGGACCACTCAATCTCAATGGTTTCACTTTAGTTATGAAAGCTGACGGTTGTGAAAGATAATTGAACCGTGGGAGACTGCAATCAAGTTCCTGTTCTCATTATAAAATCCCATCTATCTCACAATTTCTTCCGTCAAACGGATAGTAACAGAGTCATGAGTGGAATAGTCAAAAAGACTTATCAAGGATGTGTATAGAAGGACGATTGATTTGTGGATCAAGCCTTTTTGTTCTATGGTCCCCTATCATATCCATCACCCAGTTCAGTTTTTACTTAGTCAAACAGAATGATTGTGTATTTGTAAAGGGAAACGACCTCAGACAAAAAATAATAAAAGGTGACACAAAGGAGCAAAATAAATATCATCTTTGTAGCAAAACCACAACACTAACTCAAACCTGAGTACGTAGAATTAGTGTTACACTAGCAAGGTTCAAAAATAGAGATGCAACACAAAATTACAAAGATGCAAAACCACAACACGAAGAAGTAGAGTTATGGAAGAATAGAGATATGACAATACCAAATTACAAAGTTATAAAGACACTTTTGCTCAGTTTACTATAGCCATAAGCAGGGAAAGATGTTGATTCTTATAATCTTTCTACAATCTCTCTAACATTTGCTCCCCACAGTATCAATTATTCTACCAAACAAATGCATTTGAAAAAAAAGCAGTTACCACTAAACTGAGATACAGAACAATTCTCTGTACTCTTGGATGAAGAAGAAGTTGCATCAAAAATAAGAGAGCAAGCAATCGATGCCCATCTTGTAACAAGACTCCCTACACAAAAACAAAAATCAAAACTTTAAACGAAAATTGGGCCTAGACATCTAGGCGTTGCTCGATAGAAACGGTTTGCGCACACGACATAAATGGGCTTACAATAAGGCCTATTGGGCTCATAATTAGTCCTTGATTAGAAAGAACCACAGTCTACAACCATCTTTTTAGAAAGTCTTCGGAGCTTATCGTAAATGTCGGAAGGTGACGACAAAAAAAGGAAAAACAAGATTCGTTCGGCGTGACCAATATACCCCTTTCGTACATAGACACTTCAACTCACTTCTGTCTGGTCTTCTCCACTCTCTATTATACCAAAAAATCAATTTCCCGATTTAGAAACATCTCAGAACACAATACCGCTTATCATCAAAAAAAAAAAAAAAATGGCGGAGCAATCAACCACCACCACTCTCCCCACGCCGGAAAATCAACCACCGTCTGAACTAACAACTCCGGAAGAATCAAAGCCTACTCTTGAAGCCTCGGCCACAGAGACTGAAACGGCGGCAACCACCTCCACGCCGGAAAAAGAAACCACGGCGGAGAAACCTGAGGTGACGACGGAAGAGCATCAGCCGCCGAAAGTGACTGAAACGGCGGTAACCACCACCACGCCGGAAACGGAAACCGCGGCGGCGAATCTCGAGTTGACGCCGGAGGAGCATCAGCCGCCTAAGGTGACGGAAACTGAAACTGCGTCGACGGAGAAGAAAGAGCTCACGTCGCAGAAGGAAGAAGCTGCTGCCGAAGAAGAAGAGACGAAAAGGATCCCACAGAATCTCGGCTCGTTCAAAGAAGAGAGCAGCAAGCTCTCCGATCTATCAGATTCCGAGAAGAAATCTCTCAACGAGCTGAAGCATCTCGTGCGCGAAGCTCTCGACAGCCACCAGTTCGGTTCAGTCCCTAAACCGGAAGAAGAAGCCCCCGCCAACAACGACAAACCGGAAGAAGTCACGATCTGGGGAGTCCCACTCCTCGAAGACGACAGAAGCGACGTCGTTTTGCTCAAGTTCCTACGAGCTAGGGACTTCAAGGTGAAAGATTCTTTGACCATGCTCAAGAATACAGTCAAGTGGAGGAGGGATTTCAAGATCGACGAGTTGGTTGATGAGAATTTAGTTGATGATCTGGACAAGGTTGTGTTCATGCACGGACACGACCGTGAAGGCCATCCTGTGTGTTACAATGTGTACGGTGAGTTCCAGAACAAGGAGCTTTATAATAAGACGTTCTCTGATGAGGAGAAGAGGAAGCATTTCTTGAGGACGAGGATTCAGTTCTTGGAGAGGAGTATAAGGAAGTTAGACTTCAGTTCTGGTGGTGTTTCCACTATCTTTCAGATTAATGATATGAAGAACTCTCCGGGGTTGGGGAAGAAAGAGCTTAGATCTGCGACCAAGCAAGCTGTGCAGTTGCTTCAGGACAATTACCCTGAGTTTGTGTTCAAACAGGTACATCATATTCTTCTTCATTATCCAGATTGAGACATGATTGGTTATATCATGTGTTTGTTGAAAAACTTTTTCAGGCCTTCATCAATGTTCCTTGGTGGTATCTTGTGTTTTACACTGTGATTGGTCCGTTTATGACACCAAGATCAAAGAGCAAGTTGGTGTTCGCTGGTCCTTCAAGATCAGCTGAAACCCTTTTCAAGTAAGTTTTCAAACGATTCTTGTGTTGTTTGTTAATCTCTTAAGACTCATCTGACACTTGTTTGAAAAACATGTGTACTATAGATACATTTCACCTGAACAAGTCCCTGTGCAATACGGAGGATTAAGTGTAGATCCTTGTGACTGCAATCCAGACTTCTCATTGGATGATCCAGCCTCTGAAGTTATTGTTAAACCCGGAACAAAGCAAACTGTAGAGATTATAATCTATGAGGTAAAGTGCACTTTACACCTCACAACTCCTTGTTACTTTAGTATTGCAATTTTCAAAATACTATTATATTGAATCTCTATGCAGAAATGTGAGATTGTGTGGGAGATAAGGGTGATTGGATGGGAAGTGAGCTACAAGGCAGAGTTTGTGCCTGAAGAGAAAGATGCTTATACGGTGGTTGTTCAGAAACCGAGGAAGATGAAGCCAGCTGATGAACCGGTGTTAACACATAGCTTCAAAGTGAATGAGCTTGGCAAGGTTCTGCTCACAATAGACAACCCAACCTCTAAGAAGAAGAAGCTTGTTTACAGGTTTAATGTCAAATCTCTCTGATAATTTAAAAACAAATAAAAGTCTTTTTAAACTTCTTTTTTTTCTTATTTACAAACAATGTGGTGTCTGGTATGGTTGTGTTTGTATATGTAAGAGTGTGTACGTTTTCATTTTGTGTGGTTTATACGATGGAGCTTTCTGCATCTTTTACTCTTGTAATCATTTGGGGAGAATATGTTTTACATTACTTTTTTTTAATAAAATTTTCTCTATCGTTTATTGATTGTGCCTCTTTATGAAATATATTGTATACGAAGTCATTAGGTGTCGTGCAACATCAACGATAAATCATGAGTTTATTATATTCAGTTGAAATAAATGGAAGATATTCGTAAGGCTGTCGATTTACACGTTTTAACAACTTCTCGACACTGACATATTGTTGTCTGGAGACTGGAGTGGGTGGAAGAGGTTCAATTTCTGTCTTGTTTACCCAAAACTTGTTGGCGCTTACATCATTCAATTGCCTATGATGGTTGAGGAAACTGTTCTCTTTAAAAATGATTGTTATTTCAACTTTAAACAAAAATATAGTTTACAAACACATTCATACATCTATGTGAACTCATACTAATCTGATCAACCAACAAAAATTATTGTGTAACTCAATTGTATGAAAGTGACACCTTTTATTTCCTTTGTGAATTAAATAAGGAAAAGCAAAAAGGAAGTAAATGAAGAGGAATCGATGAAGAAGCACATGCGACAACTATGGCTTGTAGTGAATGTGTTCAAATTTCATTCATGGCTGTGTTCTCTTGTGTCGGTCCACGCATGTCCCTCCCTTTCCTTGTTTGTTATTTATACATTTTTTTTCTTATAAACTACGAACTGTCGTCGGACCCGATATTATGATCACTACCATCTGTCCATCTCATACATATATTTATTTTTTCGCTCCTTGCAAATTTTTAACGGATGTAACCATTACAAATTCATGTTTGTACTAATTAAATACTCAACTTTTAGCTGCTTTCAAGTTGACACTCTGTTTACGTTCAACTTTCAATATTCTTGGTCGATCATGTTTAAAAGTCAAGACTTTCTCATATACAAACATTAGTATAGTACTATCATTTACAAAATGAATGACGTAAGTTGATGAAGGAAAAACTAAAGGACAATAACATGTATACTGTTATACTATAGTCTAAGATTTGTTTAAGATGAAAAGATTTGTTTTGCTCATCATGTAGTTTATATGTATTTAATTATTACTTTGATAATCATGCGGATTAGACTTGATGTTAACTTTAGACTTAATTGATTTATGAGTAGGACACAGCCAGTTGGCCATTATTAGTTTGCATTTGTTTCATTTCACACATGTCCGGTTTGTGTATTTCTAATCGATGATGGTCTAAACCTTTTAACAAATTGGACTCAAAATAAAGGTCAATTTTCTGCGTAAATTACATTTTCATTGTAGTCCGATCTATTGATTGATATGCATATGAAATTGTTAAATATTTTGAATGTTCAACTCCAAAATTAGTTGATAATAAATGAAATTTCCAATCTTATACAATAAAACTGACTTTTCTCCCTTCTCATGCTGCCACATCAGCAGAGAGCATGGGGCAAAAAAAGACACCTCAGCAATTACTCATTGAAATTGACCCATAAAAATTAAGTCTTTGCGCCTTGGTTTGTAATAGATTTATTATACCGGTTTAATGTTAGATGTTGAGCTAGAGATTAGTTAAAGGCCCACCTTTCTCTAGAGTCGTCCACGTCAGCAAGAGAGAGGTGGGCGTTTTTTTGTGACACATTCATATTAGTTCCAGAAAATGTGTAAAATATTCAAATTTAATGAATTATCTTTTCTTTACACTTTTCCATGAACAAAATAAGATATTTTCGTTTTCTTTTTGTAAATCCTTCATATTTGATATGTTATATTAACTTCACATTTTTATAACAACAACAAGTATTTCTTTCCCGGTAAAATTACGACCTTTTTTGCCGGTAAAATTACAAATTATTTCTTTGAGAATCTGCTAAAACTTTTTTTTATAAGCTTTTTTAAGAAAGAGTATAAAATAAACCATACAGATATTATTATTTTTTTATTTTCTTAACTTTAGAGTTAGTTAAATAAAATGAAACTACTCATAATTTGATAAGTTTATAGATAAATGAGTAATAGTTATATTTTAAGATATTTTTAGTTAAACATATGAAAATTTCTGTTTAAAAATCATCTTTTACACCAACATTTCAAGATATATGTAAAATAATGGGACCCCAAAACGATGTACAATCGTCTGTGAACATTTACTTCGCTTAATGACCATTAGGATTTTATGGTTTCATATGTTTTTGCACAGGTAGGACTGTAAATTCTAAGAGTACCTCAACTTGCAATCTCTTCTGGTGGGATCTCAAGGTCAAGGTTATCATTATAGTTATGTTTCGTTTATGTTTTTAGTTCTTTAATCTGAATATTGTAGTGTCACCTCTTGAAATCTACCCCATCGTCCATTAGCATGTTTTAATGTTGATATACAACATTAATCTCACTTTAGGAAAATTATATAGTAACTAAGTTTGGAAAGTAACTTATAATCGGTTATGATTACACTTCGTCTTCATGTCTTCTCTGGTATAACTTATTACTTACAAATATTAATTCAGTTTGAGTTCACTATGATCTGAAAAAGGTACTAATCAGAGTTGGTGTAACCTTTAGATATGAGTGTACATGTTTGTAAATATTTCAACAATAATTCACAAAACTCAATTACTAAATTATTAAAAATTGAATAAATTTCATTATAAATTGGAAATCTAATATAAACTGAAAAACATATATGATAAAACATAAGTTATTGTTAAATAAAATATATTAATTATTATCTATGACATTATTGAAACTATTTATATAGTACTTTTAAATATACATTTTTACAGTTTATCACATTACATTATATTTCAATTAATTTAGCTTGAAGATGGATTAATTAATTCTCTGGAGAAAATTATTAATATAATACTATTTAATTTGGAAACTCTTAGAAAAAAAGTTATTTTAAATTTTGAATTTTCTTCAACTATATCAAATTGAAATAAAAATAAAAAGAAGAAATATAAATGATTACATTTTCCTTAATTTTGTTTATTTAATAATCTTATGTTCACTAAAAATCATTTTTCTCAGAAAATTTAATAAAATTTACAGCATCATCTTTGCAGAAAAATATTTATTATCTTATTATAAAGTAAATTTTCAAATGTTTTATAAAATTAAAATATATTTTAACATAAAATATATTTAGTGTAAACACACCCGCCCGTAGGGCGGGCCAACCACTAGTTTACATATAAAAGACAAACCAGTAATAAGTTCATTAGACAATAGAAAATGACAAGAACATAATAATTTAAATAGGCATTAATTTTTCTCTCTCTTCTTACAAAATAACCAGACATCCTAATCATGTTATCATAAATTATAGAAAATATTACATTAAGAGACAGTTTTATGTATTTTTATAACATAATAGAACAATTTGTGCTGTCAAAACACTTTTTCCTAACTATATCTTATTTCGTTTAGTTTTTCAGATTAAAACAAAACTATAGACAAAATAATAGGACCTATTATCATCTCTTTCTTTTTTTTTTCATTCTGAACTTTATTTTTCAATTATTTTTTAAAGTTCACCGTGAGATCTCGTCGTTAGACAACGTGATACGCAAGAGTCAGACAGCATCATCAAGAATGTGGCACTCAACTGTGGTACTCAGCCATGGTGTTTTGGAATAAAATGTTCAATAAATCAGAAACAAAAAATAAACAGTTCTGTTCAAATTTTTGAATATAAAACTATGAACTAAGATTGAAATCTATTAGATCTGGACAAAGTACATAAAAATAAGTGAAAATGTAAAGAATCATGAAATATAATTGAAAGAGGCGGAAATTAGGTTTTCTGGTCGACAGTGACTAGGAAAGAAGACAAAGTTATTTTCGTAATTTTATTTATGAAAAAATAAATAAAAAATCCGTGTATACACTATCATATTTAATGTACACATGTACACCTCATTATTACACATTTACGCTATTATATCTTATCGTACACACACAATGTGAAGTTGAAAATGACAATGATAATGGCGATGATGTTGATGGTGGTGCTGGTAAATTGAGTATCTGATATATTAATCTCTTTTTTTTGTCGTGTGCATCTTTTGAATTTATATAATGCAAATTTAATTGTATTTTGTGTTTTGTTTATCAACTTGTTGTTCTTCATTTTGGAAAATAGACGAAATAAATGGAGATTAGGGCTTCTGGACTCATATAATGCTCTCTTTTTAGGTTGTTCCATGTAATACTTTGTTTTTAGGTTGTTCTATTCGCGAAAGGATGTATTTTGACTCTAAAACTTATTAAGGTTGTTCAATTTGATTTGTTTGAGTTTATAGGTTTGAAATTATTAGTGAGACATGATTCAAGTATATATGTACACCATAGATATATAATATTGTACATGTGTACATCTATATTTGTACAAAACAAAGTCAGAAGTATAGCACATATGATATCAAGATCTAAAATAAACTTCATATACAACAATGAGGACTTTATATATGTACATGTGTAACACTAACATTATGTATACATTTACATTGTCATCTAATGTACTTGTGTACACAAACATGTGTACACTAACATTATGTACACGTCCACGTGGTCGTCCAATCCTAATGTTTTTAATGAGTGGCAATTTTGTAATAACATCATCTTCTTCATATTAGAGTTTTCTGCGTTTCCTACAAATATATTTCATAACCGCCATTAACTTGTATCATACAATCTTCATTATTTTGTGTTTTTACCTCGAGAGCTTACAAATATTATATAAATTAATCAATTAGAATCAAAAAAAAAAAGTTTTAATTTCAAGTTCTTGCATATTATATCCAAATCGCCAAAGTTCTTCTCCATCAAATACTTATATGCCGTTGTATTTTCTTCCATAATTTTTCAAAACAAAAGTATATTTTTCCATTATTCTTAAAAAGTGTATTTCTTCCATAGAACACGGTAAAGAGGAGCTGTGAAAGAAGAGAAGATGAGATTATATTTTTATTTTATGAATTAGTGTACTGAAAAAGAAACTTAAAAAGAAAACAAAATCTGAGAAGAGAAAAAAAAGAGAATTTAAAAATTCAGCGGATCCTACCAATTATGTTCCAGTTATATTTTAGTTAGTGATGAATGTAATATGTTAGGAAAAAGTGTCCTAAGAACAGAAACTGGCGTATTGTGATATAAAAAACTCAAAACTGTTTTTGAGTGTAAAAAACTTAAATTATATTTATTCTGACTCTTCTATAGACTAAATCTTGTCATGGCATGGCAGAGTGCCTCAGGCAAATTATCAGCCTATGTTTGGAAAATATTTGTTTTTCTTCCTGTAGGGACAGATAAAAACTTAAGAGGCATATATGCCGTTAAAGAAGACTTCCATAGTTTAAATTTTAATTATGTTTACACAGTGTTAAAGAACCTAAAGGTACGTAGTAGATTGTTTCTTATCTTTCTTTTTCTTAAATTTTCATTTCAATCAACACTATTCCTCGTTTCACAAAAATCAACACTATTCCTCAAGATCGAATAAAGAGTTTACTTTGGGCTGCTGTATACATAAGACTTGGCGAAATAAACCAAGGAAATAAAGGCCACGGAGCTGAGACAAGCAAGTAGCCAATAGAAGTAATCAAGATGTGCTTGGTTCAGGTTGTTAGCAAACCAACTCACTTGACCTGACTGACTTGTGGCTTTCTCGATGATGGATACCATGAAGCTACTCAAGAAGTTGCCTATGCCGACTACACTAAGGTACAAAGATAGTCCCAAGCTCCTAAGTTCGACCGGGACTTGTCCATAGAAGAACTCTTGTAAACCAACCATAGTGAAAACGTCAGAGACTCCATAGAGAACATATTGTGGAATCAACCAACAAACACTCATTGGAACCATGGCTTCAGGCGAATCAACTAGTCCGTGATCTCGAGCCGTCTTGAGTCTTTTCATCTCCACCAAAGCAGCTATCGCCAATGAAGGAATCGAGAGGAAAATGCCGGTGGAAACTCTTTGAAGCGTTGTGATTCCTGCTGGTCTATGAGTTATTGATCTTGAGATTGGGACGAATAAACGGTCGTATATTGGGATGAAGACAAGGATTGATAGGTTTATGAAACATTGGAGTGTTGCTGCTGGGACTAAGGGTGTTGATGAGATTGATCTGTCCATTGTAGACCCTTGCTTTGTGAAGAAAGTAGGAGATTGCGCATACACAATGCCAAACACTAGACAACACATCCAAATTGGCACAAGACTCAACACAGCTTTTGCTTCCTCAACTTCACGTGAATCACAAGAAATCGCCGCTCTATCCAGGAATCTACAGTTGCCAAAAAAAATTATTTAAATCTTCTTTAAACTTTTGGATAAAAGATCTCGACTAAAAATAGAAAATGTGATTTAAAAAAAAAAAAAAAAAAAAAGCTAACAACACATATAAACACACATCACCTGAACTTCTTTGAACTTTCTGTAGGGACAAGAAGGAACGTTTCTGAAGAAGTTGGTCGTTGGTTCTTAGCCGCGGCCACGAAAACACGACCGATTCTAACAAAAGGGTTAGTATGCTTTCTGCCTTCTCCTCCAGTGCTGAAGCGGTAAGTGTGTGTTCCAAGTAAAAACAAGAACAGAGAAAGTATCATGGAAAGACATGGAATCCCAAACCCTAACGCCCAACTCAGATTTTCTTGGACATAGTTAGAGATCAAACGAGTGGTCAGTATGCCAGTTGATCTGGCGAAATACGACCAGTTAAAGTAAACACTCTTGGCTTTGGATTCTTTAGGATCTTGTTCATCAAACTGATCTGCTCCAAAAGCTCTAATACATATATACCTTGAAGCCTCCTTCTCCTATTGCTATTAGATAGAGAGCAGAGAAAAAGATCGTTACTTTGAGCTGAGAAACGCACGAGACGTGTGTTTCTTGGTCTTTACAGAGAGATGGAATGGTCGCTGAAAACGTAAGCAACCCAAGTCCCTGACCACACAAGATCAAATATGTTATGAGTTTCCAACTCAAAACTAGTTTACAACAAGGTGATAATTTTGAGGACTATAGACAATTTGTTAAAGAAAATAATTAAACAAATTGGAACAATTTCAGAGGCTTAAAACATTCTGAATGGTGATTTCTAATTCCGAAATTCTCAAAATACATATATATATATATTAATAATAATGATTAATTGCGAGATATTTAATTTTACTGAAATTTAACCCAAAAATTCTAAGCAATGAACTTTAGGATTGGATTAAAAACCTAATAATTAAACATTAATATATATATATATATGCATATATATGTTTTTGGTCAACATACATATACATGAATTTTGAGATTTTCAATGCTAGAACATTTCCATTGGAAGTGCTTTTATATTCATGTACACTATCTCTTAAATTTTTGAAACATTAACCCAATGTTTCACTTGGCTATGCTCTAGATTGGTTCTAGTTAACAATAGACTAAACTTGCAAGTTACTTACAAAAATATAGAGAGTGGAGGTTAAGAGAATGGTACGGTAACGGCCGAGAAACGAGTCGGCTATAGAACCCCATATCAGAGGCAAAAACGCTGCCGTTCCGAGCCAGAGGTTCACGTTTGAAGCTGCAGATGCCGTTGACATCTCTAACGGCCCCGTGAAATAAGTAATCAGGTTCGACGCTATCCCCAAGTAGGCGAACTTCTCCGCCACTTCCGCACCTGCCGAAATATTATTCCCTTTTATGAGAATATGTTGGAGAAGTTTATGAAGCTTGTGCAACAAGTAACTAAGTTCTTACCAATTATGTAGCCAGATGATCTCCATCCACCGGAGGTAGATCTGACTGATGAGTTTCCTCGGAAGTCGACAGAACAGTCGACAACACTGTCTACGAGTGTAGTTTCGGCCTCTTCACCAGCCTCGGAGATTGACATTGCTGTTTCTTGCAGTTTTGTTTTAGAGTCACAGTGACTGAGATCTGGTCTAGATTCATATAAAGACATGGTTGATTGACGTAGTTGGAACGAGTAAGCATTGTCACTATCATGTGAGTTTATATATTATAATTGATTTGTTAGATTCAATCATTTTCGATTTCTTGCTTTTTTGTCCTCAGGCTATCGTATTTGATACGCTTCTTTCAAAAATCAAAAAACTTTAAAATAAATGTTTATCTTGTTGGCCTTTCGCCGTATTTATTAACTGTTTATTTACTTCGGAAAAATATTTATAAAAAATATTATAATTTTAAAATATTTATCTAAACTATTATTTTGCAAAGTGAATTTTCGTATCCAAGATTTCACGTCAAAAGTTAAAGTTGTTAAAACCAATGATATCTGGATAAATTTTTTATATAATTAAAACTTTTTTTGTGAGCATAATAATAACTTAATCATGCTGATTTTTAAATTAATAACACATATACTAATAAATATTCATAAAAAGATTAGTAACATAAACCTCTCACTAAACCAAGTTATTTTGTTCTAGTGGTAAAGGAGCTCCGGCTGGAGTGTCCGCCCCTGGATTTGAGCCTTGGCCACTGCGGAATTTATATATGGGTTGCAACATTCGAGACCAAAGATCGTTATAGGTGAGCCACATAGTGACGTCCTATCAGTGTCCTTGCTCGCTTCGATCTCTAGTCTAAACCACTTCGGTGGGTCATGATACTCCATTAGCAAAAAAAAAATAAAAAAAATAAACCTCTCATTAGGGATTTGGTCGTAGAATAATTCATTTTCAAACCAATCATAATGAATACTAATCCCCTATATATTAATTGAGGAACATTTGAAAAGATGTAACCTCAATTTTGTATTAATTAAAAGAGGCCACAATGCATAGGTGTCATTCAATTAGGTAGTCAATTAGATTCAATTGAAAAATAAGTAAGTCCACATTGGATTTTTATAGGTTGCTAGATACATTAGTTAGTCAAACTATATGATATAATGATATGATATGCTATTTTCTTTCCATAAATAAAACCTACGGAATTACCATAAATGACTAATATATATATATGACACTTAANGGTGTCATTCAATTAGGTAGTCAATTAGATTCAATTGAAAAATAAGTAAGTCCACATTGGATTTTTATAGGTTGCTAGATACATTAGTTAGTCAAACTATATGATATAATGATATGATATGCTATTTTCTTTCCATAAATAAAACCTACGGAATTACCATAAATGACTAATATATATATATGACACTTAATGATTGTTCGCTAAGATATAATTACTATTTTATTTTATTTCCATAAATAAAACCTACGGAATTACCATAAATGACTAATATATATATATATATATATATATATATGAGACTTAATGATTCTAATAATAAATATTTGATAACATTTTATATATCCTCCATCATTTTTTTTAATTTTATATTATTAAAATAAATTAAACAATCAAATTAGTTATAAAATTAAACTTTAGATTTTTTCGTATAGGTTATATTTTGAATTTTAAGAAACAAGAATAAATAACTAAACTATTAAAATTATTATGTTAAAAATTAATGATCAATAGTTTAACATTTTATTATAAAAAGATATACATGATTTTAAAACCATATAAGTAAAAAGTATCATCCAATAATAAAACAAATATACATATATAGATTAAACTATATACCATATAAGATTACATAAATATTTTAATTTCAAAATTTTCAATAAATTTTCAAAAAAATTTATAAATTATAAACGTATTAAATTTTTCATATTGAAATTTTTTGTATCAATGATTTAAATATCTTAGTTCTTTTTTTTTAATTTTATATTTTTAAAAGATATTAATAATCGATAATATGGTTATTTTGGTATATACCATACAAACCGAATGGATGTGATTTTATAAAAACCATAGGATTTGGATATGGTTTAATTTATAATCGATTAAACTGAAACATGTAAATATGTATATATTTATAACGACGCATGAATATCTATTTGTAACATGAGTTGAACTATAATTATAATTTGTAAATAGCTAACAATTTATTACAACTAAAAATTCTTATTTTGATCTTTTGCTTTTTTAACAGTAACTAAGTTGAAGTAAAGATTATAAATTTGATGGACAACAATTAGTTGAAACTCTTTACAACTTTTTTTTTATCTTTAAACAAACAGAGTTGTGTTCAATCGAAGACATATTGGTTTGATGAACACTAAATATGGAAGCATATAAAAACTTTTCTTTCATGCTTCTGTTTTGTTTTTTATTTTTATTTTCAAAATTTAGTGTTTTGATATTAATTCTAGATTGATCATTTTATTAGATGATAGAAGCCTTTTTTGTTTTTTATTCTTTTATTTAAATATATAATATTTTTTTAATAAATGACTCTGTGACGATATGACTCTAAATATGATCATATTATATATTTGTATAATATATAATATGATCTCAAACTAAATAATTATGTATTTTGGTATAAAATTGAATAAACTGAAAACCGATGGTATATAAACCAAATCAAACTGAAGTACATATAGATTTAGAATAGTAGTTATATTTTAATGATCGAAATACCAAAAAATCGAGCCGAACCGAAACCCGATATCCGGAATGAACACCTCTAATCCGAAGGAAACCGAACTATTGTTTCATTTTTAAAAACATAATAAAAATAATATCTTCATCCCGCGCAAGGCGCGGGTCTTATCCTAGTGAATACGTATGAGGCATAGGCAAAGAACCAACTACGTACCACACACACTAATTGATTGGTTCTAGTTTAAAAGGACATGTGTGAACAGATCATAAAATTTAGTGAGGACATTTTACTAAATTAATAAGTGAAAAATACATTTCCAAGAAAATAATCATAATGAAATCTATACTATTAAAAGAGAAGGAGTCTAAATAAATCTACTTTAAAAGGTTGTTTGGACCCTTTCATTAGACTAACATTTTTTGGTCTTCCCTTATATTTCTCTAACTATATAAATACTTTACAATTTTAATAAACTCATTTATTACTTTCCATAATCTATTATAAAATTTATCTAACAATAAATATTCATGATACTATAACTATGACACTTTGGTTTAATTAATTATATGAAATCAATTATTAAATTTTGATATTACATTCTTATACAAGAACTAAATAATTAATTTATGATATGTAAAAATTAAATGGGTCTAAACATTATAAGTTGGAGATTCAAACGAAATTGGTCAAAAAATTGATTTAAATAAGATATGTTTGTTTATTTTACATGATATATTTTTATTTAATTTTAAATGTAAACTAGCCTACGATTTAAACATCAGATAGTTTGAATATTTTTAATAAAAATATTCAGGTAATTCATTGATTTGTCTAATTTGGTTTAAAATAGTATTTTAAGTTATTTAGTATTTAGATATTATATATAATTACTATTTGTAGATATATAATTTATATATAAAAAATTTAAATACCCATTTGGTTCTTAGTTCGATTTCTATTTTTAGATTCCAGAGATATATGATATGATCGATTATTTATAAAATTTGGCTTAATTTAACTCCATTTAAAGTACCCATTTGTGCATAATCGAAAAATAGAAACATGCTTCTCAATGGGTTAATAAAAATCTTTTGATTTTAAGATATTATTACCATATTTGTTTTATTAATTTTTACAAGACTAAAATAAAATAATATAACAAATTTTAAATATTATAGATATCTAATAGTAGACATAATTCATTATATATTTGAATTTACGGTCAATAAAAATATAAGAAGCGCGGGTCAAAATCTAAATTACTTCATCTACAAGTTAATTTATTACGGCCAACTGTTTAATTTACCTTAATTATATCAACCAAAAAAATCTAAACTGAGCCTACTTATATTTTCTACAATGATTTTGAGAAACCTAAATTGATTACAAAATATTCTTTCATATCTTCTCTTAACCTAAATTGACAACAACCCTCTCCTTTTATAAATACAAGCTATCTCGGACTTTTTTACCATTAACTCAATCAAATTCAAAAACACCATCAAAATCCATCAAAATATATATTCCGAAATATTTGGATTTAGGGTCAACAAAAAAAAATACCCGCGCTTCTTAAACGCGGGTCAAAATCTAGTGATGTTTTAAAATAAAAAATAAAAAAAAATATTTAGTGTACTTCTACAAAACTCATCAACATTCAAGTCATAATATGCTAGTATGCAAATATTTTCGGAACTACATATCAGTGAATGGAGAAAGCTAAATTCAGTAGGCAGAACAGATGACAATGTTTTAGAAGGTATTTAGTCTATTGTAGACATATGACTTGGCGAACCACAAGTAGAAGGCTAAAGCAATGGAGCTGAGAAAAGCGAGTAGCCAGTAGAAGTAATCTAGATGACCCTGGTTCAGGTCGTTATCGAACCAGCTCGTTTGATTAGAATGGGTTGTGACCTTATCAATGACAGATATCATGAAGCTGCTTAGAAAGTTGCCGACCCCATAAATGCATAGATTCAAAGCCATACCAAGGCTCCTAAGCTCACCAGGGACTTGGTCATAGAATAGCTCTTGCAAACCAATCCTCGCAAACACGTCCGAGAGTCCAATGAATACATACTGTGGAACCAACCACCACACGCTCATCGGTACGGTGACATCATCACGAGCGGCTTGGAGCCTTTTAATCTCGACCAAGGCGGCTACTACCATAGCAAGAATGGAAAAAAATATCCCTGTGCCAATCCTTTGAAGCATTGTGATTCCTGATGAGCCATGAGTGAAGAATCTACCCATTGGGACGCGTAGACGGTCGTAGAGTGGGATGAACACGATTATTGTTATGCTTGTGACACCATGGAGTGAAGCTGCAGGGACTAAGAGTCCCGGTGAGATTGACCTGTTCATTGTGGCTCCTTGCTTTGTGAAGAAAGTGTAGGATTGTGCATATA